TCCATGATCTCCGCACTAGGCACAGGAAAGTGGCCGTCTAGGGCAGGAGAGCTGCCAGCCTGGCCACCCAGGACCAGGTGTGCATGAAAATCAAGGGGGTCCACTGAGACCCCCGACCCTGAGCCCTGAGCTTAGAATGGCCGTACTGGGTCAGACCAAAGGTCCATCTAGCCCATAGCCTGTCTGCCGACAGCGGCCAACCCTATGGACCCTGGAGGGGATGGACCGAAGACAGTGACCAAGCCATTTGTCTCGTGCCATCCCTCTCCAGCCTTCCACAAACTTTGGGCAGGGACACCACTCCTACCCTCTGGCTAATAGGACTCCATGGACCCAACCTCCATCACTTTATCTCACTTCCCTTTAAACTCTGTTCTAGTTGTAGCCTTCACAGCCTCCTGCAGCAAGGAGTTCCACAGGTTAACTATTTGCTTTGTCAAGAACAACAACTTTCTCTTACTAGTTTCAAGCCTGCTACCCATTCCTTTCCTTTGGTGTCCTCTAGTCCTTCTTTATGGGAACTCATGAAGAACTTTTCTGAATGCACCCTCTCCACCCAACCCCTGCTTTTAGAGACCTCTATCCTGTCCCCCCTCCGTCTCCTCTTTTCTAAGCTGAACAGTCCCAGTCTCTGTAGCCTTTCTTCATCTGGGACCTGTTCCCAACCCCTGATCATGTTAGTTGCCCTCCCCTCTCCCAGCCTTTCTCTTCCCCTCTCCCACCTCCTTTTCCCAGTCTCCCCCAGTTTTTTTCAATAAAGACAGAGTCAATGTTGGAAGAAACGTTATCTTTATTTTGTACATCAATAAGAAGGGGGGCTAGGGAAGGGTAAGTGGAAGGAGGTGAGGGAGGAATGGGGTACGAGCCCCCGATGGGGAGGACTGGGCTGGCTCTGCGGGCTTCTGGGGGTGGAAGCTCTCCTGCAGCCCCCCAATTACTCCCTCTCCCCAGATGGCAGCCTGCGGCAAGTGCAGCCGGGCTGATGGCCGAGTGGTGTGATGTGCCCAGTGTGGGCACTCTGGGCACTCCAAGCCAGAATTTCTTTGCAAGCGGGGCACCCCTTAGAACTGTGTGTCCGGGGTGGGGGTCGGGACCCTTTAAGCGCAGCCCTCGGCTAGCCTGAGACAGTATCTCCATGCTCTAAGTCCTCCTTTTATGCCCTGCCGGCACTGCTTCCGGCCATCCTTAAGCCCTGTTCAGAGTCCACTCAATGTGGACTTGCTAGTTCGAACTAGCAAAACGCTAGTTCGAACTAGTTTTTAGTTCTAGATGCGTTAGTTCGAACTAGCTTAGTTAATTAGTTAATTCGAACTAAGTTAGTTCGAACTAGCGCTGTAGTGTAGACATACCCTCAGTGTTCTTTCAGAAATTCAAGCGGCCAGGGTAGACAGCTGTCAAGTTTTCCGCTAAAGCAGGTGCTTTGGCGGAAAAACTTGCCAGTCTAGACACAGCCATCGGGTAAATTAGAGTAAATGTCAGCACAGAACACTGAGAGCCAGGACTGGTGGCTGTAAACAAACTTTCTGGGACCACTGGAAACTTGGCCACACTCAGGATAAGTGGACATCCAGCTTTAGGCTTTCCAATATGGCTACAGAAAAAGTCCATTTCCTTACAACGTGGGCTCAGCTGTTCAAACTCCAGACAGCCCTGGTGATGACTCGTGGAAATATTTGCAGTGATTACGGAATAGAAACACTGCTATGCGCTACCCAGAGAGTTCTGACACATTATTCCCAGGTTCAGTCATAAAATCATCTCTGTGTTATTTAAATAAGTATGAAGGAGTGAAACTAGTTGTTGTCATTCCAGGTTCCTGGAAACACCAATCCCCAACAGTGTTTTTTATTATATAAGAACATGTAAAAGGTGAAAGAGTGGGCAGGTCGGGGCTTAGCAACCACTCATCCAGAGCTCCACTCCACTCTCTGTGGGTGCTGCTTTTCCTGCTGCTGCCTCAACTCCTGCTCCCTGAATTTCCTTTCCTTAAGCTGCTGCCTCTCTTTCTGCAGCCAGGACTTCTCCGGGTCTTTGGGCCTGTGCTCAGAGAGTGCTGTGCTGGGAATAAGCGGCAGATTTGTAATATCTATTGGAACAGCTTCCTGAGGAATTCTCCAGGCAACTGGAATTTGTACTTCGAGTGACTATCTTTCCCAAACATGTACTCTAAAACAGCCTCTAGTTGTGGGATGGGGGCCGACAGAGGGATTTTCTATGTGTTATGTAAAAGGACAAACTAGATGACTACAGTGGTCCCTCCTGGAATTAAAAATAATCAGCTATCTTGGTCTGTTTCTCTAGCAATTTTGTAATTAGCCAAAAACCTCAAAGTGCCCCTGCAACAAACAAACAAACAAACAAACAAACAAACAAACAAACAAACAAACAAACAAACAAACTACAAAGTTTTGCCGTTGGCTTCTGCCCTGATCCACAAGAGTTTACTCTCTTCCAAACCACCATTTGATTGTTTGGGACCCTCCCCACGCCAGCTTTGGATAGTTGTGCTAGGCAACACTGTCTTGGACACTGCTCAGCTCTTAGTCTCAGTGGCACGGCCAGTGCTACTGCTGGTCCCCGGCTGAGTGTGCATTCCGGATGGAGCTGCATCCTGCATGTCGAGGGATCCCAATGAGAGTTACACAGCACATTGTCTTAGGAAGATAAGCTGGAGGGAAGCCCCATGGTGTGACAGATGGCGATGTGCTGGCAGAAGTGGACAGTCAGAGGGGCTGGCCTGAAATAAATCATCCACATGCCATTGGGATGAGGGGAACAATTCATGGTCACTGGTTTGTGCCAGTGAGGAAGTCATGGCTTGGTGGAACTGTGAGATCACAAGAAGTTCTCCCTTCCCATGTCCCCCTCGAGCCCCTGCCCCCAGTTGCTTATTAGTGGCCAGCAGGACACTAAGGTCGCAGATACTCAGTAGATAGGTTTGCCCTTGCTGGAGAAGCAGAGCAGTTGTAACTGGCCGTGAATTGTCACTGAACCCTGAAGCCATATTGCACTACTCCACGTCACTGGCTTGTGATCACCTCGCCATTCACACCATGCTGGTGAGAAATGGCAGTGCAGTCCACTGCAGACTGACTCAGGCCCATGAGGGGAGTGATCCAAGAGAGCCCTGACAGGCAGCTTACTCACAAAACAAGGTTCTTCCACAGCGACCAGTCACCAAACAACCACAGGGTGTGTCTAGCCTGCTGCCGCGTTCTGTCAACAGTAAATCGAAAGAACGTGGCAGTTTTTTCTACCGTGGAAAACCTCGTTTTATGAGGAAGAACACCTTTTTTCAAAAGTGCTCTTTGTAGTCTAGACGCTGAAAGTACTGGTTGTAGTCTGGGCGCTCTTTTTCGAAAGAGGCTTTTTCGAAAGTAGCTTCTGAAAAAAACTCTTTCGAAAGAGGCTTGCAGTCTAGATGTAGCCCCAATGGGGCTGTGTTAGTGACTGCAGATGTACAAACGGAGGAGATAGCTCTGGCACCGAGAGCACGGGCCAGAGCACGGCAGCTAGGTGCCTGCTGATGCTACACTGATCCGAGACAGGGACACACACGCACGCACGTGCGCCTCACCACCAGGCCCTGAAGTTTTTCACTGTCCTGCTGGAAATGTGACAACAGTTGTGGACAGTTAGGTGTTCATGTTGCCAGAGTGAGGGGTTGATAGTGTGGACTAGAGCCAGTGGGATGTACCACCAGAGATGCTGCTCCGTGCACCTGAATCTTGGCCCCATAGCAGCCCTGTAAGTGCAGAGTTGGGCTCCCAAAAAAACTCTACCCTGCCCTCTGTCCTGGGATACAAGCAGTGTGTATGTCCTCCAAACTGCTGTCAGGGCAAATGCTCTCGGCTGTGTCTAGACTGGCAAGATTTAAACTTGCCAGCTGTCTACACTGGCCGCTTGAATTTCCACAAGAACACTGACTTCCTACTGTCTGAAATCAGTGCTTCTTGCGGAAATACTATGCTGCTCCCGTTCGGGCAAAAGTCTTTTTGCACAAAGCTTTTGCGCAAAAGGGCCAGTGTAGACAGCTCAGATTTGTTTTGCGCAAAAAAGCCCCAATCGCGAAAATGGCAATTGGGGCTTTTGTGTGGAAAAGCGCGTCTAGATTGGCCATGGACGCTTTTCCGCAAAAAGTGCTTTTGCGGAAAAGCATCAGTGCCAATCTAGACGCTCTTTTTCGCAAATGCTTTTAACAGAAAACTTTTCCGTTAAAAGCATTTGCGGAAAATCGTTCCAATCTAGACGTAGCCCTCCAGAGCCAAGCACTCCCTGCTGTGTCCATTTTGGCCCTGGGACATGATGTACCAGGCCTCCTCTGCCCCTGCTGGAAGCCTCACTGCCCTGACACTCCCACCCAAAGATATTCCCAGGGAGGGTTCGCTTTCGCTGGGCCTGTGTGTTTCCTCAGTAGCACAATGGATGTGACCAGATGCATCTTTCCTGAGAACATCTCAGAGAAACTGCGGGAGGCATTGGCATATTCTGGCAAAACGTTAGTGGATCTGTGTGTTGAGAACAATGTGTGTGGGTGGGGAGGTACAGCAAAGGCGAATAATAGGCCTCCAGCCTGCATCTTCTGATGAGTTTGCTGCGTCTCTGAGAGAGGGTACATGGGTCACAGAATTGGATGATTTCCCTTTGGGTGACTGAGACTGCGAATCCCTAAAGCAGGATCCTACCTGTCTGTGCGGCCAGACACAGGCCAAGGATCCCAGCAGGGCTTTAGGGGAGAATCAGCTGGGAAGCTGAGCAGTAAATGAGCCCAAGGTTGAGTGTAACAGGTGTGGAGAGGGCTCATTGCGTGGGGGGGATTATTTAAATGCCACACATGGCAGCCTAGCCCCTTCCTCTCAGGTACAGTCAGCTGCTTCCTTCCCCTGCCCAGGTGGTGACCCTGCTTCCCACCCTGTCCCTATGCCCTCTCCCCCCACCAGTGCACC